TCTTGAGAGGGAGACCAGGGTTCGAATACGCATTTTTTTTTTTTTAACTTAGGGCCAAAATAAAATCCTCACCTGCACTGTCGTGGCGACAGCACTAGCCATATGGCCCTTAATGATATATATTTAAAAAAAAAAAACAAGGAAAGGTTTGTGGGTGAACCAGTTGATAATTAAATTTGACCATTTCACATACTTATGATTTAATTTTAAACTTTTCGATTGCATGATTACGCTGAAATTTCAAAGCTTTCCATTTATTTTCATTTAGATTTAATTATTTCATCTGCGTTGGAATTTTAGGCTGTGCTGTTTACCATAGCGTTCATTTCCTAATTCTGGTGTATTTTTCCTGTTTTAATTGCTTTTCAATTGGTTTTTTTCCCCTCTCAACTTCTTCGATGAGGGAAAGAGTAGTCGGTGAATTTAGAGGGGAGGGGGGGGGGGGGGGGGGGGGGGGGGGGGGGGGGCCAACTGATTACTGAGAGAGCTTTAAGTCACAGTAACTGCTTTACCCACTTAAAGTAGCAGCAGCAGTAGCAGTTGTGGTTGGGCTGTTACACCGTAGTGCTCTCATGTGAAGACCGCCGGTAAGGTTATGGCGTTCTTCTGTCGGGAAGCGAAATTTTACATCCTAACCTGACCAGTTTGTGGCGACAGCACTAGCAATGCGGAACCAAATCTTCTGGCTCACGACTCTCTGTCTACTCCGATGGTAACACGGATAGCAGTGACATTATTTTAGCTACTGTGGTGGTGGTCGTGGTAGTAGTTGTACTGGTACTTGAAGCATGATGTGGTAAATATTACACTAGCCCCATTCACTACCTATTACAATTCCTGCTCCCCACTTTAGTTCGGATGGACAGGGATGTCAATGTCAGTTACAGCAACAACAAAATATCGCCAGTTAGTGATTTTCAAATCCTTCGAAGAGGGAGAGAGCAGTAGTCGGTGGAAGAGGGGAGGGGAGGGGGGTAATGACTTAAATTTAAGAGAACTTGAAGAGCTTTACACGTGATTTTCAAGTTCTCATTACCTAATTTGTTTATATTTTACTAACGCTACCTCCGCTTTTCTATTTTTTACGACTTACTTTGTTATTTACAAGAATGCTGTAGCTTTACTTCCGTCTCCTATAAAAATACAAACAGCTTTAGCATGTGATAACCAAATAACCATTTTTGTTACTGTGCTAATAACACCATTTAAACGACCACTAATATAAGGACACAATTATAAGGTGCGTGTTCTAAAGTTGGAAAACCAGACTATCTCTATATCTGTGCAGAGAATGATTGCGACATCAACTATATTAGACACGTGCGATTTCCATTGTCTTTCTTTTCCAAAAACCTTTGATGAGGGAGAGAGTAGTAGGTGGATTTCGATGTGGTGGTGAGGGGGAAGGGCGGGGATCAAAGACTATCTCTATATCTGAGCAGACAATGATTGTATTACACACGTGCGATTTCTATTTTCTTTCATTTCCATTTAGCCAAACTATGCCACAGCAACGCGTGGCCGGGTACAGCTAGTTAGTTATATAAATCCTACCGGACAGGGAAGGCTAGGGCAATGTCTGCTGGCGAAGAAAGGACTGAAACATGTGGTTCCTGACTTAATTCAGTGGAATCATGGTATACTAGAGGTTTAGTGTATACAGATATATAATGGGGGCACAAGCTGGAAAATAGTAAATGTTTACGCTGCTTTCCCTTGTCACAAAAGAACATTGGGACTGACTCAAAGAGTTTGAGGAAATCCCTCGTAAGAGGCTTCTCATTTGTGGGGATTTCAATGCGCGGAACAGAGCATGGACAGAACTAGGGAAAATAGGCAAGGAAATGCTTTAGCAGAGGCTATGGTGAATGTAAACGTAGTTGTATTAACGTTAGTAGGTCAAATAAAACGGCAACAAGACCTGTTATGCAGACCCGGCTAATGATTTGGCGTTTGTTACCCAGTCATCAGTGTTAAACACAAAATGGAGTGTCCTAGGCGATCATAGGAATGACTAAATACCATGCTCAGTCTTAATTTCTAAAGCTAGCAAGGTCAGGGTTGTGAGAACGCACAAGACTTTTAAGTATGAGAGGGCCAGTTCCCTTATTGGACGCCTTCGACAAAAGGTATGCAGCTATGCAGCAGTGCTATTACCTTTGCTTTTCTGCAGCTCCATGGTGGACCCAAGAAGTAGACCAGGCATGGGAAGCAAAGCGAGCAGCAGTTAAACAGTGAAAAGAAAGTGCGAAAGGCACCACACAGGGTACAGGACGATGTAGAGAAGCTAGAAAAAGGTTGGGGTAGATGAAGTAGAAGAGTTCCTACGTTGTGCAGCAGATGCAAAACAGGCT